GTTTGTGGTGTGAAAATTTTGATTACAGACTATAGTACCATAGTATAAAATGTATGTACATAGAAATTTTTGTAAAACAACTAAACAAAAAGAAAATTACTGAAATAGTAATATAATAGAATATTTTTTCATCATTACTTTCATAACTTAAATCACATACTATACAATTTTAGAAACATATTTTATAAGTACTGTAACAATTAAAATATAGATGTAAGATTTATAATTATGAATTGCTAAGCTACATATGTGCAGTCAATTATGTACATTGAACATACTATAACTGAAGTGCAGCAGTATTGTGAACAGTATACACATGATACAAAATACATGTAACAGCTTATTGAAATTTGTTTATAATTCAGTGTTCTGAATACTCCATAAGTTACAGAATTTTAACACACTTTATCAGAACATTGACAAGTTCCAGCTAAAGTTGTTTGAATGAGACCATATTCTCCTGTGAACATCCAATTTTCATCTTTCTTAAATAATTCCTCTGCTACACCAGTTGATAAACCAACACAAACATCTGATTTTACTGTTCTCAAACTTAAGACATTTGTTGGTTGAAAACCTCTTAATGCTTGTGTAAATTGTGTTGTATATTCCCAATTTATATCACCCAGCAACTTTCTATAATTTAAATCACCTTTGAATATTGCTAACTTAGCTTCTGATAATTTTGCATATAACACTGGATTTTGTTCTTTCATCTCTGCAAAATCGTAAGGTCCTGTCCAGTATGGTTCTTCCTAAATAAAATGTGCATAAAAGATAAGTTTTGTTATCATTATTTTGCTGAAATTGTATAAAGTAAAGTATACCTCAATAGTCCATATATTGTTCTTCAAGTAATTACTTGATAATTTAGCTAATTCTTGTAAGTCTTCATTTGGTGAATTTTTCATGTACTCTAGAGTCCAGTAAAAGTCATTTATTGTTGTGTCACTAACAAACCACGGATAACGTTTTACATAAAACCTTATTTTTCCAGCAAGTTTACTAGCAAGTAGAAATACAGCTAAGCATAAATCAGTAAAAAGTTCATATCCTGCATTATCAAATATCATATCTACAATATCTGCATTACTGTTTCTCTTTCTGAGTAAATTCCAGACAAAATCTGAGTTATTTACAAGAATGTTTTTATCTAATGATTTTAGTACTTCAATAGGATTACTACTCTGACCAACTTCTGCTCCTGCAGTTAGGGATAAATCACATCTACAAAGAACTTATATTAGTAAATTTGTTAGAGTTATAAAAATACAAAAATAATTTAAATTTAACATACTTGTTGCCCCAAAGATTAATTTTAAAAAATTTTAGAAGTTCTTCTTTGGTTTCAACTATTGATAGATTCTCTGCTCTATGTATAAGGTTCATAGTATAATTACAAAGTGCTTCTATGCTAGTTAATGAATTTGTAAATGCACTCTGTTTCTGTTGTTCAAAAGGATCATAGTTTTTCATATGTTTCCTGAAAATTAAAAACAAATTAAATTGGAATGTTTTTGATTTTGGTGAATATATATATAGTGATTTTTATTTAGATATTATTAGTCTTTGATTATCTTCTAAAACTTACATAAGAGCAAGTTCTTGTGCAAGAACTCTATACATATAGCATTCACAGTGCAACCAAACAGTATTAAACCATGTTGGTGTTTCACCCTCTATTTCAGTTCTTTTTAGTAAATATTTATTCCATTCTTCAGCATCATTATCCTTATCATCAGCTAACAACCGTAGAGGCTTTAAAGTTTTATTTGTTGCAATTTCACTTTTTAATCTACTAATGAATCCTGTTATTTGTTTAACTTCTTCTGTGGCTAACTATGATATTGAAGAAGTACAGATGTTAAATATACATTGTTGAATTGTAATAACTATATGTTTACAAATACATATGTATTTCACCTCTCCATATTTGTCAGCAATGTTTTCTTTATTACGGCTGAGAGTATCAATTATTTTAGTTAGAATTACTGGTAATCTATCCTTGATTGTTATATAAGCAAAGCTAACTGTGACAATAAATGAAAATTAAAGCACAGTTGATATTAAAATTAGTATTATTCCACTGTCACTTTAACATTATGTAAAATAATAAATATACTTTCAAATAGTTAATTTACAATTGTTAGGTTAACTGAAAATAAATATTATTTACCGTTTATAGATTCCTGATAAAGGTACGCCAAAGGGTGTTTGTATATCCTGTAGGTCTCTAATGTCTATCGAATCTGACCTCTGGTTCATGATCTCAGTTTCCAAATTCGCTATTACTATTTGACTACAATAGATCACAATTAACTGGTGAATACAATGTGAAACCTGAAATGAACAAAAGCCGTCAGTCTGATATTCGTTCACGATTTCGCTTATGTAATTAAATGAACATTGCTATTTACCGCGTGTTACTGTTTTTTTAAATTTCTTATGTCCGTATTGTTTTACTTTTGGAATATTCCACAGCAGCTTCTAGACTACGATCTGCAAACGATGAATGAAGCATTACTATATAGAATATGATTGTAAGCACGTGTTTTGCGCGTGCGTGTTTGTGCCCATCATCATTCAACACAACAATATTACTATAATCTCTTGCTGACAGTCAACTATAAAATTGTTTTCCTGTTTAATAACATATAAAAATAATTTTATCGCTTAAATGATAAATTATAAAATGATATTCACGAGTATCTTGATAATTCGCGTACAGCATATGATTCAAATATAAATAACACTTGAATACTTCATGAATACTTTTAAGTCATAACTCACTGATGAGTATGCATATCAAATAATTAAAATTTATGTGGTATATTCAATATATGTAACTGGAATAACAGAAAAACAGTTGTTTTAGTTAGCCAGTTAGAATTTCAATAATAAATAAACAGATTTCTACGCGATTTAATGATAAATATAAATTTGATTCATCTAACATGCAAGAGTTGATAAGTATCGTCTGACATATGTAATTTTGTTTTTGAAGTGAAAAGCGACAGAATATAAATTACTCTTCCGGAATCCATGAATAAATGTATCCTCCGTAGTATCCGCCAGTACACAGATTTATCAGTGCAAAATGTAGAAGTGGAGACTGATAAGATAGAACATCGATGTGATGCTCATGTAAATAAGCAATCTTATCGTGATTTTCAGAAATAGCATCAGGGTTTGTTATATACTGAGTTCGATTTCCGATTGGTAGAGGCTTGATTTTATCCTAATAATATTTCACCTTGTATACCGTCGAATATACATATATCATGTTGACTCTCTGAAGTTGTTTAAGATTAAAAGTAATGTCAGTTACCGACTGTCTATCTTCTGATTAATTACAGAAACATACGCGAGGTTGCGCATCGATGTCATGTTTCGGACATATTTGTACGAAAGATTCAAAGGATCATTTGATTATTTTATAACATGTCTGAAAATATTAAATAAATGTGGCAACTTTAGATCTTCTCTTTTTCTTACATTTTACTCATTTGTGGTAATAAAAATTACTTTACTGTATTATGAAATTTCGAATCTTCAAATTCTATACACTTCATTATTTTTGAGGCTATGTTACTAATTTCTGCTTTAAGATTTAAACTTTTCCGAGAGCAAATCTGTATCGTATATATTCAATAATGTTTTCCAAATTTTTATCATTGTTTTCTTCAATTTGTTTTTGCAAAGAATAGTCAATTTTATATTGTAACAGTGTATGCAAGTTTAATTTGTTAAATTCGATATTTCCAATGATCCGCCGAGCATATTTTCAAGATTTCCACGGTATACTTTCACGAGAACGTTCTCGGATCTCCGAGCAAAGGGCTAATCTTTGTCTGCGCCGCTCTTCTACATTCTTTCTTATAATAGTTACACGCGAATCTGCATTTTAAGCTCTTCCATAACGACCTACCAAGTTGCATTAGCGTCAGTTGTTCCCGCAGTTTTGTCGAAGTTCAGTCTGCAGGCAGAAATTGATACCGAGAAAGACGTGGACTAAGAAGCTCGAAATTATTTCATCTTCTTGCGTTTGGTGCAGTTTTTGCTTACGTCTAGAGAAACAGCAAACTAAAGCGATAATTCAGCTACAGGTGTTTCAGACTTTATTAAATTTCATATTAAGAAGAACGAGGGTGGAATGGATGTGCATTCATTTTCTAAGCAGTCGAGTTGTCTCTAGTGGTTTTACAACAGCACAAAAAGTATTTTAATCCTTTAGTGACCAAATTCCTTTTCTAAAGAATTTCTAATTTATCTATCGATCATTGAGGTTGTAATGAATAATAAATTGAGATCAATTTTTGTTCGAGTATTCAAGTGGAACATATGTGCCCCATTGGTCACGAAAAGGTTAAGGTACTTAACCTAATTCTTCTGGTTTTAACCCCTTGATTTATGATTTCTTTCGCTGACTATGCATTTAAGCGTTAGATGTTTACTGGTTTAGTATTGATTAGTGAAGAAAAGCTAATGTATTGTAGGTTAATTATATTTGGTAATCCTCAGTGTTTTAATTAAAACCTAACCTAACCTTAAAATTAATTTTTGTTGCAAATATAACTGTGTTTGTCGCGTTTTGACCAGAATCTGCGCCAAAAATTTGACTCGTTACTATGAGGCAAGGGGTTAAGTTAAAATTCATTTTTTTCGAGTTCTCTCACTGGTCACGAAAGGGTTAAGGTGCTTAAGACGTTGATCATTTTTCTGGTTTTAGGTTAAAATTCATTTTGAACAATATATGTGAAATTTTGTGATGGAATGTTACCTTCATAATTTTTATCTTATAGAAAAATTTGAATTCTTCAATTATAGTTTCAAAATAAAATATTCTTCCATAAGACCTCGCAATATCCAGAAACAATCTGGGATTTTCTACGTTTCTTTTTTTAAACAATATTTAACTTGCGAAAAATTTGAATTTTTCAATTATTAAATTTTCAAAATGAAATATTCTTCCATAACACCTCTCAATTTTCCAAAATATATAATCCAGATTTTTCGTTCCTTTTCTTGAACAATTTTTATCACCGAGTGGTAAAGAAAGTGTGTCATTGGCGAATAAATGGTGCAAAATCTCAAAAATTACCTTCATAGCGATTTTGTTACGTTGATGTTCAACTTACAAAAAATTTGAATTCTTCAATTGTTAAATGTTCAAAATACAATAATTCTTTCATAAAATCCACAATTCTCAAAAGTATATAATGTAGATTTTTTTATGTTCCCTCTTTTAAACTATTTTACCACTGAGTGGTAAAAAAGGTGTGTCGTTGCCAGATGAACTGTGCAAAATCTCTAAAGTTACCTTCATAGCAATTTTCTCACGTTTACTTTTAATTTGAAAAGAAATTTGAATTCTTCAATTATCAAACGTTCAAAATAAAATAACTCTTCCAAAAAGCCCCAGAATTTTCACAGGTATATAATCCAGGTTCTTCTATGTTCCGTTTTTTTAAACAATTCTTATCACCGAGCGGTAAAGAGAGCGTGTCGTCGCCGACAAACCGGCGTGCAATCCCGAAAGAAGGATTTAGGTGAACGTGATACTTAGCCGGTTCACGCCGGGGCAATCGATGGTCCGCATAGTAGCAATAATTTCCAAGATAACATCGCGGTCGCGCGTTGTATTCCTTCGAATGAAATCCGTGCTGGCGATACCTCGATCCTACACCCTGCGCTCTCCTCCTTCCATCTTTCGGTTCTGGGAGCAATGTTGCTAATTACTACATACCACCGAATGCGGCATAACCTGCGACCCATGAATTCCACTAGCCTGGCCGACACTGTACAGTCGCGAGAGTCAGTTTTCGTCCGTGTAATCCGTGGAAATTGCGGTTTCCTATGAGCGCAGAACGAACTGATAATATGCTTCTGAGCGATTTCGGCCCGGTCTCGTCTTGCATTCTCCGGCACGTTCGGAGTTAAAATCCCTGTTCGAGTATGTGCAAACCTAAATTCATCCGATTCCAACACCGGCGAAAATTTTGTTGGCTCGCACGATATTCCCCGTTGGATCGACTTTTGTTTCATTTTACCTGTGAGTAGCAGCGTGCCTCTCTATTCGCAGATTTCTGCATTTCACGTTCGTGTATGTGTGTATGTATGGATTAGTAGGATTTTAGATTTAGCTGCAATCAGTTAGGAGAGTTAAGTGGTGAATTTCTGGTGAATTTTGTTTATTTTTGGAATTAATAGAGTGAGATGAAGTTTTATTTACTTTTGTAATTAACAGTGTGGGGCTAACGAGGGAATCGACATTAGGAGAAATCAATTATGAGAGAAGTCAATTCAATGTTTTTCAAATTTCTGCTAAATTTGATTTATTTTTGTAATTAATAGTGTGGGATGAGATTTTATTTATTTTTGAAATTAACAGTGTGGGATTAACGAGGGAATCGGCATTAGGTGCAATCAATCACGAGGGAAGTTAATTCACTGTTTATCGAATTTGCGGTAGTTTTTGTTCATTTTTATAATAGTGCCAGATTTGGTAGTTAATAAGGAAGACGATACGCTAATTATTAGATTGCGAATTTTTATGCATTTATAGGAAATTGAAAGGTGCAGGTAATATGAAATACTATGCGAAATATACAAATTATAGTGATTTTTATAATACTTGATAGGTAAAATAAGTTTTATATGCATTTAGAACTCACTTTAATCGCACCTCGTAGGACAATTTTCTCTCGAATGGTTCCTCTTTTTTTTCCAAGGAAAAATACGCACTCATAGTTTCTTAAAGTTAAACAAATTTCCCATAACTTAAACCCAACTTAGTCTAATCACGCCTGGCCAACGCTGCAATCGCCATTTTCTTAAAATTCGTTTAGCTTTGACGTTGAAAGTGAACAATAGTTTCAAGAAACGTCTTTCGAAAATTAGAAGAGATAGCTTCAAGGAAATCACAACTTTCCTCGTAATTTACCAGCTATTCTTCCACTTCTACCAGTAATAATCAAGTTCGCAATTGCTTAATTAAATTTGAATCACACTTCGCCATAGCAAATCTGCTAAATAAAAAGCACGATGCACTTCTCTACAACCAACATCTTCTCTAAGTATTTCTCGGATATATAAAAAAGGAAAAACGTTTCAATCCGTAAAATTACGGTGTCTAAACGCAAGAATGGAAATTATGTAAATTCACGCCTGTAGAATTGAAGTTCGGCACAAGGGATTGTAAATTGATGTCAACGATAAAATTTCGCGTCCCGCAGAAGAAGAACGTCTAACGAAGAATGAGAAAAATAACTGTGGAAAGTCGTCTCGCGGGTATAATATGCATACTAATTTTGTATTCATATTAATTCCGGTAATAACTAAAACTTTGCGGCCACGCTTCGAATGATCTTTCTTGGGAGAAGAATCAGCACGAGCTGTCGACCAGACAATATGGAATTAATTATAATTAACTGCCATTCATGAAAGTTCCGCAGAACAATTTTACAGCACCGCCACGGCGTTATAATGAACTT